TTGTTGATCAGAAAAGTTGGCAATTCAGTGGTTTGAATCCCTAGCACCGTGTAGCGGAGTGAGCTCCTGTTACTTGTCCCAGCTTCTGCCAACCTAGCAGTTCGAAAGCATGTAAAAATGCAAATAGAAAAATAGGGACTACTTTGGTGGGAAGGTAACAGCATTCCGTGCACCTTTGGCATTTAGTCATGCCGGTCACGTGACCACGGAAACGTTTTTGGACAGCAGTGGCTCTTCAGCTTTGTAACGGAGATGAGCACTGCCCCCTAGAGCCAAAAACAACTAGCACGTATGTGTGAGGGGAACTTTTACCTATATATTTTAAAGTGGAAGAATAATGCTTACACTAACCATGTTATTTAGAACTTTTGTGGATAGCTACTAGATATATAGAAATAAATAGTTTCTTAATGAGTCATTCTGGCTTTATGATTCAAAGCATCATATTACAAATAAAATATCAAAATAAGCAAGGGAAGCCATACTGTAGTAGGCTAATTGCCATTTGAGGTTACATTACAAAACACATTTAGAAAACCTGTGCCATGTAGTAGTTGACTTTCCTTACAGCAGCAGACTGGATAGGTCTTTTCTTATCTAGCAGCCTTGCTTGGAGTAACTAGAAACATGTTTTATTTCAGTAGCATTCCTCTTGAGTACTTAATGCTTCTTAAAGTCATATTTTTGCATGTGGAATGTTTTGTGCCTATGGAATTTAGTCTCTTTCAGTACATTGCTGTTTGGAAAGGTTGTTCCATGAAGCGCTATTGTTTTCTATTGCTGAAAAAAATGACAAAAGCTACTTCTTAAATTATAATACAGGGTATTTAATTACTTTTAATAATATTGAATCCTGTAAGGTTTGAACAAGGTTTCCTGAACAGTATGATTCATCATCAAGGGAACACTGACCGTCCTTATTTTTGGATAGCATTTCAAGATCTAAACAACACAGGGGAATATACTTGGCTCACTGAAGATGGAAAACATCATTTTGAGATCTATACAAACTGGAGAAAGTATCAACCCAGTGAGTTGAACCTTTTGTCCATTGGTAATTACTGTTAGTAACTTTTTGTAGGGATATACTTGCCAATTTTCTGCACTTTCTAACTTTTCAATCTTTAATTGGTTTGTCTTCCTTTAAACAAGAGTTGAAGTTTTTTTAAACAACAATCAAATGTGCATTCAAGTATTCAAAAAATACTTTGTTTCAACAGTTAAAAGAAAATTGCATTCTTTTTATACAACAGATTTAAGTATTTGACAACCTTGGGTTACTTCAAAGGTGAGAAGTAAAGTGCCTGTCACTCCTGATTATTACCCCTATTTGTGATGGGAGTTTTACTCTAGCAATAACTGGACACTGAGCTGTTTCCAGGAAGCAGCAATTACAGAAGAATATATAACAACTAAATTGCTCAAAATTGGAAAAAGAGTATGAGAATAGAATGTTATATCATGTCACTTTTTTATTAATCTAACACATGCAGAATTTGCCATGAGAAATTTTGAACTAGAAGAAATTGAAATTAAACTCAAGAACTTCAGTAATTTGCTGACATCATTTTGATAGCTGGAAGCAAGGAACAGTTAGGTAAATTGTTGCTTAAGATAGAAGAAAGAAGTATAAAAGCCTATCTGCTGCTTAATGTTAAAATTAACTCTTAAGGTTATATCAATACACAATGTCAACAAATCCAAATAGAAAAGAAATTGAAAATAGTAGCAGATTGTCTTCCTACTAGGCTCAAAAATTCACAGGCACAATGACTGTAGTTGTTAGAGAAAGAGATGGTTGCTGCCTGGAAGAAAGGCTAACATATCTGGACAAAATATTACAGTGCAGAAACATTACACTGACAAAAATATGTGTATTATGAAGGCCATTTTTCCCAGTTGTAACATATGACTGAAAACTAGTTCATCAAAAATACTGAAGAAAAAAATATCTGAATTATGACGCTGGAGAAAATGCTGGGAATAACAAATTATTAAATAGATGAAGTAAACTAGACTGCTTAGTGGAACTATTCACAATAAAGTCTAAAATATTAAAAACTCATAATGTGGAAGTAGGAGACATTGGAGAGGGCCATGTTGCTTAAAAAAGTGAAATCAATTGAAAAGGAGGTTGAAACAAAATACAGTCACTGGTGGCATAAAATTCAATCGGTGGTGATACAAGTATGAAATTTAAGAACTCAGAGATATAAAATTATAGTATCAAGATATCCATTGGATTCCAAAGGATTGGAATCAACTGAACAATTGAGTAACAACATGAGCTAATTTTGAGTAGAAATTGTTGTAAGTAATCAATGCTATTACACAGCACTGCATTTTTTATAGTTCAGTTGTCTGAATGTTTACTCAGAGCATTCGTTGATGTGTTATTCGATGATTAGAGCTTATCTCTATAACATGAAACTTGTTCATTTTCTTTTACTAAAGGAAGTATCATGCACATGTTTGAGGGTTTAACATTTCTCTGTGTGCTTCAGCTTTCACTGTTCCCTTTCCCCGTATTCATTTAAAAAAAAAACTCTATTAGTGACAGTGGAGGTTATTGGATCTTGAAATAAGACAAATAGGGAAAAGATAAGAACAGCAATGAAGATTAGCTGTATATTTCATGGTTAACATAACAGAATGCAACCCAACATAACACATAACAAACTTTGATCTGAATGCTAACACCTTAGAATAATATACATATACATATACATATACATATACATATACATATACATATACATATACATATATATACATACATACATACATACATACATACATACATACATACATACATACATATATGTATGGTATTCAGCTTTGTTCGGGTATTTTCCCACGTCATTATAGTTGTGCTTTTAAAGTTGTAGCAACGTTTTGGCAGAATCTCATCTGCCATCATCAGGCTTCTGTATTGTGTTCGTCTGTGAGTCAGACTTTCACAGCTGTTTCTGTTTTAAATTTGGTGCCAGCCTACTGCTGTGCCAGAATGTTTTTTTCTTCATCCTGATTGGTTGGGAGTCTTGGTCTGTGTTTATTGGTCTTGGAATTTGCTGTGTTCTGCTTGATTGGTGTTTCTAATACCTTCTGTCTGTTTTGTAACTTTTTTTTGTCTTGATTGGCTGGCAACATTGTGTTTCCTGTATTGGAGGCTTTTAGTGCGGCTTGGCTCCGAGTAAATGGACGGCTATCATTTATTAGGAAGCTAGGTTTCACCTGGGTGCCTGGTTGGGGTGTGTTTGAGCTGGAGGTATCAGGGGGGATCTGTTTGTGCCCAAGTGTTTGCCTGGCTTGTGATGTGAAGATTTTTTTGTTTGTGAGTGCAGGCTTCCAAATAATTTACAGTCTGGTGGAATCATCTCTTCTATTCATGCTTTCAGGTCTTTTTTCAATCTCTATGGCTTCTCTGATAATTCTGTGGCTGCGGTTTTCTATAGTGGCTAGGGTTTTGGTGCCATTGAAGTCGATGGTATGACCTGTTGCTTTCATGTATTGGACTAGTGAGGAAGTGTGTTCCAGCTTTTTACTGCATTTTTGTTTTCATCCAGGCGGGTACTTATTCTTCTATTGGTCTGTCCAATGTATGTGGCAGGGCATGATGCACAGGGGACTTCATATATGCCTTGGTTTTCCAGGTCAATTTTATCTTTGGGGTTTCTTAGGATGGCTGCTATTTTTCTATCTGTTTTGAAGGCAGTCTTGATGTGATGCCTGTGTAGTATCTTGCTGATTTTGTCTGTAGTATCTCTTATGTAGGGCAGGATAGCTGTTCCATAGGTCTGTTCATCTTCTAGGTCTCCATTATGTCTCAGTGTGTTTTTTTGGATCAAGCCGGTGATTTTGCTTTTGTGGAAGCCGTTGGCTGTCAGTACTTTAGTCAGGGTGCATAGTTCAGTCTTTATGTGTGTCTTGTCTGCCAGGTATTTAGTTCTGGCGATTAGTGTATATATATAATGTCTCCATGTGTGTACAATTTTAAAGTTAGATTGGTAACATAAGGCACTTATTAATTCCATGTATATTTGAAACAGAGCATTTTTAGTTTTTGAAGAAAATTATTCTTATTTTTCAAGAGTGACCTCTACTGGTTAAATAAAGTGAAAATATAAATTGCTTTCACAGCATTGTTATTTGGCAATGTGGCATTACATTTTTATCCTAGATAATTAAGGATTTAGAGGGAACTATCCAACCTTGATTGATTTCAAAACCTATCAGAATAAAACCTGATTAGTACTATGATTAAGAGACTACCAGGAAATAACCTAAGCTGGGGAGTTAAAGTAAAATCAAAACAAAGCGAGTAGCAAACCATTTACATAATGTTGTTAAGAAAACAATTTAAGTGTCACCAGCTAGTCTCTTGGAGTTAAGATCAACTCAGATAAGACTTTATTTTTTTAAAAAAATTATTTTTTCAAGAATGTTTCTGTAAGTTTTTATGACAAAATTTCTATATGAAAATTCCATGTTTCTTGGCAGTACCTATACTTTTATAGTATAGATTCTGACACCCAACTAAGGTAAAAACTATGATCAAGTTGTAGCAAAGGAAATGATAGCAAGAATGGCAACATAGTTTCTAGTGCATGTCAGCTTGATAATGGCTGAGTAATGTATACCGTATTTGCCGGCGTATAAGACGACTTTTTTGCCCCGAAAAACATGCCTCCAAGTGGGGGGGTCGTCTTATACGCCGGTATATCCACTGCCGGCTTTCGGATGCTTGTTGGACGCAGCAAAGGCGCCTCTGGCTTCCTGGATCCCCTGCGTCGCTTCCGCTTCATCCCGCTCGCCTCGCTCCGCCCGAGGCTGCAGCCTTCCTGCTCTTCCCACGGCCCCTGGCACTCTGCCCTGCCGCTGCAGCCCCGGGGATTTCTGGAGGGCGTTTCCGGTGGTGGTGGGGGGTCGTCTTATACGCCGGGTCGTCTTATACGCCGGCAAATACGGTACTTAGACTTAGACCTAGACTTAGAATAACATTATTCTAACTTTGAATGTACATTAATCGGCATACATTAAATTGAAATTTTATTACATACATCTCTCAAAGGGTCTCCACCTCCAATATATACTACATAAACATGACAAAATAAATAAATCAAACAAAATGCATATACCCACATATATGATACAGAGATACAACACAGTCTGGTTCGGATGTATACATGTACATAGTGAGAGAAACAAATCTTGCAAGTTTACCAGACGGATGGCATAGGGAACAAAGCTGTTACAGAAATCTGGAAGTCTTACTCGAAACACTTCAAAACCTCCTCCCAGAGGGGAGCAACAGAAACAGACCATGAAGTGGGTGTGTGGGGTCTCTAACAATGGTTCAAACTCTAAGCACATAGCTCTTATAAGCAGTATCCTGAATGACAGGGAGTGAACTTCCTACAATCTTCTCGGCTGTCTTTACTGCTCTCTGAATGGACTTTCTGTCTGAGGCACTGCAGCCATCAAACTAAACAGTGATGCCAATAGTTAATATAGTTAGTTTGATTTCCAGGTCTTTATATTTTTGTAGCAAAGTAAATATTTAAAAGGTTCATTTCCGGTCATGATTAGAACAGCTCCTAGATAATTTTCAGTGTAGGTACTTTTAGGGGATCTAGGACAACTTGCCATGGCCAACTCGCCATGGCCAAAATTTGGATAATATCCAAATTATCCTGTCAACAATTTTAATTTATATTGCACAAATGCTACTGAACCAGCCAATGTCTGTATTCCATCATGTATTATTTACAACTTAAACAAAGAATTGCAAAAAGAAATGAGGCAACTTTACTTGCTGAACATTTGACAGAATGGATTATACTTGAAAACATACAATACTATCATAAATTAGATTTAGCTTCATCCACCCAACCTTGAAACTCTTTGGCTAAAATTATTTTCAAAGCCAAATGAGGAAAAAAATCCCCCAAGGCCAAAAAAAGAACTACATTTCATCGGTAACAGCATGATGTTTAAAATAGCTAAAAGAGCTAAAATCTTTTTTCCTTTCCAGGATAAATTTTAGTAACTAGACAATAAAATATAATTCTAGTCTATAATATTACAATTATTCTTAACACTAAAGATTTGGCACATTTTATGTACCTTTTTTATTTGGAAAAGTAATAATTGTACTTATTGATAAATATTTTCGCTCCTTCTACCTCATTTTAGGATATCCTGGAGGATGCGTTGTTATGCGACAGGAAGAACCCATCGGCATGTGGGAGGTGAAAAATTGTACAACCTTCATGGCTAAATCACTGTGTAAACAAGATGCTAATTTCCGTGAAAAAAGTGATACCAACAAGCAACCAAATTATGATGAAAGTTTTAATTCTTGCATGCATGGATGGGAATCAGGCCATTATCTGCTGAACTGCTACAAGGTAAAAAATATTAAACAATTTCACAGAGAACCCAAATGAAATGAAATCTAGAGATCCATTGCCATTTTAATAAAACATGGGATAATAATAAAAATATGTGCCACTGATTTTATTAATGAGAAATCAATAATCTGATTTTATTATTATTACCCCCCTAACTTGTTTGTTTTTTAATTTAGAGGACAGGCTAGTAAAATTTTATTATATATTGTGATTTTTTTAGTATTAAGCTGCCTTCCTAGAAGACACCTTCATTGATAATGGATGGTCCTTGCAAATTGAGTCAGTATCAATTCTTAACAATCACAACAGACAGATTTTCTTCGTGATGCTTTTTTCCTAACTTGGTCCTTCAAGTCTTCCAAAGGTGACTTCTCTAGAGAGCTAGATCTTCACATATCCAAAATAGGATAATCTGGGCCTAGTTATTTATGCCTCGTGAGAATCCTGTATTTATTTGTGAGATTTCTTTGATGTTCACGTTTTTCCAACACCAAAATTCAAAAATGTCAATACTCTTTTCTAAACTGTTTCTTCATAGTCCAGTTCTGTGAATATTCATATTAATGATGCAGAGAAAACATAATTGTATGATTATAAGCAGAGGAGAGATTTGGGTAACATAATTGACTGCCAAATTATGTATCTTTGCTGTAGCATTTTATATTTTCAACATCAAATCTTGGATTGCAATAGATACAAAAAACAGCAATAGAAAATAATATTTCAAAACAACAGCAAAAAAAAATCTTATAGTGTGTTTTTCAATTCTGGCCTTGATTGCATTAGTTTGAATAGCTTGCTCTCGAGCAGCCAAAATGAAGCCTTCAGTTTCTTCTTGTTAAAGTTCTGGTTTTAAGCCATTGCTGGGTTTTATCTCTATCCTCTTTCCTCTCTATCCTTTGTAGAAATTGATCATGTAATGCTTGTCCTTGCCAGCATTCTATTCTTTCTATGACATCCTTTGGATATTCATGTTTTGTTTCCTGCATGTTCAGTAAGTCCCAATTTTAATACTTTACATTAATTATATCAATGCTTGTTCTTAAATCAGTATGGTGATTACATGAAAATGAAATGAAAATGCATGCTTTCCTTCTTCAATAATTTGTTTGACTCGACGTAAATTTCTGTCTCTATTTCTGCAGGGAAGATATAATCTATCGGCATCATTTTGGGAATGTAATGCCTAGAGAATTGTTTTTTGATCCAACTGTCCAGTTCAGCTTTATCCAGTTAATAATTCCAGTAGTATATCATATCATACGTACAACCCAGATGTCTTTGATGGTGTTTCAACCACTTAATTTTGGCTTTATTACTTTTCTCACTCTTTGAATGTATTCTTACTAATCACATTTTAAAGTTGCCCATGCTTGATGTTATCTATCTATACTAGTAGGCTTCATTCTGGTGGGTTCTGATGGTTTGGCCATTTGACATTTCAATTCCGTTACTATTATTTGTGATTTTATCCTGCTTTATTGCTACTGTAGGACATTTCTATAGGTCAAATTCTATAGCTGTATCTGTGCTAAAAATTGTTAATAAGGTTTGTCAATGACTGGATTTCAATTTCTGATTCTCCATAAAACTTCAGATCATTTATATAAAAGGGTGATATTTTATTAGCATTTTTCCTGTTGGATAGCCAAGATTTGTTTTCTTCAAAATCACTGGAAGTTGTGTCATAGCAATGACAAATAATAAGGGTGATGATATGTTACCCTCAAAGATACCTTTACTAATGTTGAGAAGCCCATGTTTTCATTTCCAACCACCAATATTTTTATTATTTTTATTATCGCTATTTTGCTTTGGCAATGTGTTTTCAGGCAGTTGTTTTCAGTGTTCCACTTGTTTTACAGGTATTCCATACTGAAAAAGTATTAATGAAAAGAACTTGGGAGGAGGCAGAAACTCTATGTCAAGATTTTGGAGCACATCTTGCCAGTTTTAAACAAGTCCTGGAAGAGGATTTTTTAAACAAACTTTTAAACACAATGTTTCATACGTAAGTCTTTGTGTTTAATCACTGGATCTGGGATTTTTTCCACAACTGGAAAAAATGGATTATGTGATCTAGTTGTTTCATATACTTTAACATTTAATCCAATACATATGGTATTTTCACTGTAATGATAATAGATAATTAAGGACAGCAGCATTTGCTTCAAATTGTCAGTGTTTTCTGTATGTCTTAACTTTATACCCTGTTTATAGGATTTTCTTTTCTGTGGAGTTCTTGGTGCTCTAGTTTGGCATGGTTATTTGCTTGCAGACATTTCATTATCTGACTAGATAACTTCATCGTTGCTAATGAGTGTAGTATTTGGTTCCTGTTTATATACAATAGCTTGCCTTGCCAGTGTTGATATGGATGTGCTGTTTGGTGGTTCCTTGATTAGGATATTGTTTTCTGATTGTTTTTCTGGTGTTCATACATGCATATCAAGATGTTGTTTGCTGGAGAGAATCTACTTTGGATTTTTTTTGTTTTCATTTTAGGAATGTAGTACAACAGGGTACAAACACACTATAGCAATCCAGAACGCCAGAAGAAGGAAACAGATTGCCTATACAACATCTTCCAACAAAAAGGATGCCCATACAATTTTATCTAAAAATGCCTGATGACTCAACCAACACAAGCTATGAAAAAGTATCTTTTCTACACTACCATACATCAAAAACATCTCATAAACAATCAACGGGCTATTATAGTCACACAGCATTACTATAGCATACAAACCAACTAAACCACTCTAAAATGTGTTAATTAAACCAAAAGACCCAGTAGAGAGAATGAAAAAGCTAAGGAGGAAACAAAAAGACCAGAATCCATCCTCTAAGCCAACAACACTCAGATAAGCAGTGATTGACACCAGACAAACAAACAAAAAACAGTACTCTAATCAAGGAACTACTAAGGAGAAAAATCACATCCTCATCATCAGTGGGCACACAGGGCAAACTACAGAATAAATGGAAAAAAACCTATATTCTCTAGCACTGATGATGTTATCTAGTCCAGTAATGAAATGTCTGTAAGCAAACAATGAAGCTCAAGGACTCCACTGTTCAATCTTGAAATACAAATATTCTCTTCTCTTTTTCCTTTATTTATGTGGGAAAATTGACACAATGAACTCACAATTTATCCCTTAAACCTTTGTGATCCTTAGTACTTTTGCTGTGCTAGTAATCTTTTGGAATTCATTTTATTCACACATGCAACTTTAAGACAGAAGCTGTGTACGTTCTTTTTTTCTAAAAGTCTGGAAAAGCAGCTTGAATATGCAAGAGATATCTGAAGGGTAAAAATATTAAAAATGTCTGTGTTAACTGCAGTCTTCTCAAGCTGCTTTTCCTAACACTAGAGTGGTTTTCTTCCATGCATTTATGCATATCCTGATTTGCTGCTTACAGCAGGAGTCCCCAACCCCTAGGCCACATCCAGTACCAGGCCATGGCCTGTTTGGAATCAGGCCAAGCAAGCAGTGTGTGAGTGTGTGCGGGTGTGCAAGTCCACTTCCATAAGCAGGTGAGCATGTGCAAGCAAGAAGCCCCATTTGTGCGCCTACCACTTGCACATATACGCAGTGGCCACCACTCATGCAGAACCATCCCCTCTCCCCCGCCACCCCTGCTGATCCACAAAGTCAAAAAGGTTGGGGACCACTGGCTTATAGTATTTGTCATATTTTTTCAAAAACTTCAGAAAGAAGTGACTCAAAGATTTCATCACAGCACTTGCCTAGCATACAACCTGTTCTGGTTTAAAAAAATATTAAAATGTATGCATAGGTGCTGGAAAAATTGAAAATAAATCGAGATAAAGGATACATAGTTTGCATTGTCATGGGGTTGTTGTTTTTTTTAACCACAGAGATGATGGAAGACAATTCTGGATTGGATTTAATAAAAGGAATCCATTATCTGGAGGAGCCTGGGAATGGTCTGATGGAACTCCTGTAAATATTATTTTGTTTACTCATTGTTCTTACAAAGTTAAACAAGAAACGGGGTTGGGTCCAAGTTGCTTTAGCAGCTTCCTGTCTAGTGTTAATGATTGCTCTTTGAGTGTCTTATTTCAGTTAACTTATTAGTTTAAGAATTACAGAAGAATGTAGTGGTTTTGAAGTACAGGTAGTCCTTGACTTACAACCTCAACTGAGCCCAAAATGTATGTTATTAAGTGAGACATTTGTTGAGTGAGTTTTGTCCCACTTTACAACCTTTTTGGCCACTTGTTAAATGAATCACTGCAGTTGTTGTTACTAACATATTTGTTAAATGAATCCAACTTCCCCATTGATTTTGCTTGTCAGAAGGTCACAACAGGTGATCAGGACACTGTCATAAGAATGAGTCCGTTATCAAGCATCTGAATTTTGTTCACATGACCATGGGAATGCTGCAAAATGGTCATAAGTCACTCTTTTCAATGACATTGTAACTTTGAACAATCCCTAAATGAATAGTTGTAAGTCAAGGATTACCTATATATTGACAAACTTCCTTATAGACATAAAGTGTTCTTGAGAATATTAAATGTGCAGTATTTTATCTTGTAATACTTCTCTGAGGCAAAATGTGCCTTTCCCTTTGAAAAAAACATACAGAATCTATTGCATTTTTAACAGGAAATAATAGTACAAAAGATATCGAAGTTGTAGCATGGCACAGCATTCACACAATCAGATCCCTAATGCATTAACACATTTTTGTTTCAAGGCTTATAAAGTGATTGCTTAATGGGTTTATCTGAATGGCAAACAAATAAAAAGGAACTGAATTTTAGATAACTTAAGTGACTTCAATATGGCTGCTCATTTTATTCCTTACCTAATCTAATATTTGTTTAATAGCTCTTTTTTAGGTTTGACAGATATTTATTAGCAAATAATCTCAACTTGTAAAATAAAATGGTGTCAAACAGGTTATTGTACCTATGTAAATTCACCTCAGGATATGTTCCTGAAGCAAATTTACATAGGGAGACAGTTCCAGTATTTGGAACAGATCCTCTTTAACAGTTTTTCAGTCACTTTCCAGAAGTCTTTCTAAGAATCAAAGAAAAAAATTGGGATTGTAACAATTCTCATTTTATAATCATCCTTGTCTGAATTCCAATAAGGATATATAAATTAGGTTAATAAGTAAGTTAAGTTAAGTAAATAAGTAAGTAAGTAAATAAATAAAAAAATAAAAAATATAGCATCGGATAATAGTGTCAGAATTGGGTTAAGGAATATAAGTTGCAATTAAATTAGCCCATGTCCCACTCAGAGTCACCTCTAAGTGAGATGGGCAGCAAGCAAATCAAACAAACAAACAAATAAATAAATAAATAAATAATGATCTTGTCATTCATTGGCAAATCATACTTCTCAAGGTTCTAGAATCTTCTGCAAGAAGATGTGATGTCATACAAAGTTGTGATAGAAAGGAGTCATTCAAATTAGGATCATTAGCTGAAAGTTCTTCTGACAGAAAAAAGCCACTATTAGACTCTTCTCATGGTTTATATACTCCTTTTTACTAATAAAAATCTTCACTTCCATGTTCATTCCATGACCAAGTGTGTACATTTCAATAAGCCATGTTTTGTTTAACCATATAGAGTTATTGAATGAGACATAATTGATTATGTTCTCACAATAGGTTATTCTATTTTAATATATTAAAGTGAGTCTCTGTATCATGCTTCAGATTTAATGCATACTTCTGTGGCAGGTTTCACCTGCCTTTTTAGAGAAAACTTCTATTGAAGATAATGTGAAAAACTGTGCAGCATATAAAGCTAATGGGACTATTTTGCCACTGCGCTGCAATTCGGAACGTGAATGGATATGTAAAATACCAAAAGGTAAGGAAGCATTTGAACAACATCTTGCAATATGTGCCTCCTAAAATGATACATAGTCACTGTTTCATTAAGATAAGAAGCAGAACTCAATAGCAGATATCAGTCCTTGCATGAAGAAAGTCTCAGATTCAATTCAAATAGTCCTAATTTACTAATCACACTTGGGATCAAAAATTCCATCACTAAACAGTGCAGTCATTAAGCACAATTTCATATGATTGTACCAACTTATGCTATCGGTTCCATCTGCAGTGGTTAAGTGAATCACATAGTTGTTAAGCACGACATTATATGACCCTAAGTTGTGACTTCCTACCAGCTTCCCCATTGACTTTGCTTGTCAGAAGCCAGCTTTGAGGGTCACAAATAGCAAACATGTGACCACTGGATGTTGCAATAGTCATAAATACCACACCAATTGTGAAGTGACCAAATCACAATAATACGACTATGGGGACATTGTGATTTCCACAGCTTCCTGGACCTGTTAGAAGTCTCTCTTTTCAGTGCCTTCAAAACTTTGAATAGTTGCTGAACAACTGGTGAATAAGCAAGGATACCTGTATCTCGAGTTTTAAATAAAGAACTTAGAAATTGGAGAAAGAGAGGCTGCTCTTGGATTCCTTTGAAAGTTGCGGTCAGAATAGACCAGTCTTATCAGCACTTTAGGTTGGGGAAAACGTGTATTTTAGTTCAACATATCTAACATATCTGCTGCATGGTCTGTGTTTGATAACCAACATAGGACAGCTCCATCCAGTCAACTAAATATTTCTTTATTGTTAATAATAATAGATTATTAGCTTTTATGAAATTGGTGCCTATATATGTTATGTATTACTTTAAAATGACACGTGCTAATGAAAATTTAGTAATGAATACTTGGGGAAAAAATGACACTAAGCCAGAACAGAGTTAAATTATATTTTAATAATGGCAAAAAAGGGGGGGGGAAAGAAGGGAAAAAATCTGCATTATGTTCTTCAAACCAAAATGTTATTTCTGTTTCAGGTGTGAAACCCAAGACTCCACAATGGTATATTAATGGTAAGGGTAAAAACATGTTTTTCACTTACTGAAACAGTATGTATATATCAGTGGTGGGATTCAAAATCTTTTACCACCAGTTCAGTGGGGGCGCTTTGCGTGCATGCATGCACTTTGCATGCATGCGTGCGCCAAATGCGTACTTTGTGCAGGCGCAGATGCATTCCAACTCACTTCCTGCAAACCTGCACTCTCCCGGTCGCTTCAGCAGCTGCCGTGCAGCACTCTTCTGTGCCGCGCAAAGCAGCTGTGCTTCAAAAGCAGAAGATAAAGGTGAATATGGGAGCCCAGGTGGGCGGGTGGGCCCAACAGCAGAGCAGCGGAGAGAACTTTTTCGGTCTCCGCTGCTCATCGCCAGCTTGGCAAAACCGGGCCAAACCGGTAGTTACCACTGGTTGTGTGTGTGTGTGTGTGTGTGTGTGTGTGTGTGTGTGCATAGCTGGGTGAGTTCCCATCACTGGCTCCAGCTCCTTGACAAGGACATGAAAGGAGCCTCCATGGGCAATGGTGATGTCACCAGCAAATCTTTTCAACCTGGAAGCACCTTAAACGATGCCTCTGACATGGGATTTCCCCTACTTTTCTGCTGTTTTAGGTGCTTTTGCTTAATTCTAAGAATGAGAATTCTTTGTTTGCCAGAACTTTCCTACTCTCGTGAAAATCCCTTAAATTTAAAATGACATTGTTAAATATTGGCCATTTTGCTGATAAATTTCTACAGTGTGATCTTGTTGTACTTTGATTCATAGGTTTTGCTTCTTTGCATCAAGCCCAAAAATGCACTGTTGGTCCGTGTGGCGTTTGATTGGCAATGTCAAGGAAGGAATAATAAATGATTGAACATTGTAATCCTTGATGTATTTCAGCAGCACAGTGGGCAAGTGGAACTTGTTTATATGTTCTTGGTAGTTTACAGAGCAACATATAAACATATAAAATATGGTGGCATAAGGCAGAATGCCACCAGACTTGAAATTCTAGACCTAGAAAACCTAGAACTACGCCACCTTCAGTCCAATCTAAGTATAGTATATAAAATCATACATTGCAATGTCCTACCTGTCAATGAATACTTCAGCTTCAACCATAACAATACAAGAGCAAACAATAGATACAAACTCAAGATTAATTGCACCAAACTTGATTGCAGGAAATACGACTTCAGCAACAGAGTGGTCAAAGTCTGGAATATTCTACCTGACTCTGTGGTTTCTTCCCCAAACCCCAAAAACTTTAACCTTAGACTTTCTACTATTGACCTCACCCCTTTCCTAAGAGGTCTGTAGGGGGCATGCATAAGCGCACCAACGTGACTACCGTCCCTGTCCTATTGTTTCTTTTATTTTTCTTATATGTATCCATGTATTCATAACTATGTTTTTACTTATACCTATTATCTTGTAAGCAATTGACAACCCAAATAAAATAAAATAAATAAATATAAAAGTGAAATTTGCAGTCAGTCATGGAAGAAGGAAATGGGGGCAAAGAATGGAGACATGCCATCACAAGATTAATACAATAAATTGTGGCTTAAAATATTTCATTATTAAGAGCAAGAAGAATCACAATGACATGCTAGGTGTGCTTGTATTCCATTGATATTAATGCAGTAGTTCAAATGCTTATTTTTTTCTCTTTGAAATCATTCCCTAAGATGAAGATAATATTTAATTGCATATATTTTTAGAATACATTCATCTAAAAGTAACTAGCTAAGTAGTCTGTTGCTGTCTGGACAAATACCAGAGAATCTGCTATTGTTTCTACATGTTAGACTCCATTCAAAGAAATAATTGCTCTGCTTTCAGTGAAAAATATAGTTAGGGCTATACCAACCATATTTAAATTCATTGATTGCACTGGGAGAAAATTAAGCATATGCATAACTTCTACATTTTAACGGAATGATAATGATCTATTGAACATGCCTAGTTCATTAAAATGTAAATCTTTAAATCTCAGGAGTAAGTCAAATGTAGTTTAGCATCCACTCATCTTCTACAGTATTAGGTTTGATAGTGTTGGCTCTTGTAGAGCACTAGGTATGTGATGTTTAGTTCATTAACAATAAAAATATGTAACTCAAAGACATTTTCTCATATTCAAATAGATTGTATCTAACTTAATTTTTAGAGTTACCATGGTTTTATTATCAAGGAGCAGAATACCTTTTCTATGACAGCCCTTCACACTGGGACAGTTTTCAGTTTGTGTGTGGTTGGCTCCATGGGGATATAGCAACCATACAGTCCTCTCAAGAACAAGAATTTATCCAAAACAGAATAAAAAAGGTAATATATATATATATTTGTATACAATTATTTTTTAGGTTTTCATAGCACAACAGTTTTTCCAGCTAGACAGACAGTCAGACGGACAGACAGACAAATAGATAGACAGACAATTATAAAGAAAGTTAAAAGACACAATTTGACATATATTTTCTATTTAATACAGCAGCAACTAGTGAAATATAATTTTGTGGCTTCTTCAGACTGAGCCAAGTTAAAGACCTAAGTACAGTCTAGATCAGCGGTTGCCAACGGGTGGTCGATGAGAAAATTTTGATGGTCCACAGAGAAATGTCACCCCCAGAGCATCCCCAAAGCAATTAATCCAGGCTGCACGGGAACACAAGGCTGCCTGCCTACATGGCCCGCGGAAACCCTCTCTGCCCACTCACTCCTTACCTGGCAAACTTGCCTACTAAAATGCTATTTTTCCTTTTTTTCCCCCCGACCATCAGCTGTTCTGCTGTGCCGGGACATTTAGATTAGCTAGAAAGCAGGAACTTGTTGGATTTCTTGCTTTCTAGCTAATGTTTAGATCTTTGGCTCTGCTTTTAAGCAGAGCTGAAGCTTCCTTAGGACTGAAGCAGTGCAGACTCAGGTAGGCGATGGCAGAAACACAGAGCTCTAAGTGAATCTTTGATTCTGTGAGCAACTCGATCTGCCTGCCTGCTTTGCCTGATTTTGGGTAAAAGTTGTTCTTTTTTATAAAAAAATAAATCAATATTTACATACATGGTGTGTTGTGAGTTAATTTTGAATTTTGTGAGTTTGCTTGCTAGCAAATGTTATGGGTTTGCTTGCAAGCAAATTTTATGTGACTGGCTCAGGTAGCTGATCTCACAGATCTCTGAATGAATCTGTGAGCAACTCAATCTGCCTGCCTGCTTTGCCTGATTTTGGGTAAAAGTTGCTCTTTTTTATAAAAAATTCAATATTTATGTAAATATTTATAATATTTACATACAAGCCATGCCCAGCCAGTCACATGACCACCAAGCAACACCCACAAATTAGGCCACACCCACAGAACCGGTTGTTAAGAAATTTGAATCCTACTCCTGCCTCTGTCTCTCTCTGTTTCTCTCTGTCTCTCTCTCTCTCTCTCTCTCTCTCCCTCCCTCCCTCCCTCCCTCCCTCCCTCCCTTGATCTAGATAAAGCAAAAAGCACAGCTGATGAGCATGGAGAAATTAAGTCAGTTTTTCCACATTCAAAATATCAATACATTCTTCTTTTTCTACAAATACATATGATATCTCTGGTATTTCTGGGTTGCAGCCTTTTTTCTTTAAATTGCTTCTGCGCTAAAAATACTTTAATCCTGGCCATGAATGTTGCAACATTTTTACTCTTACCTAGATTTTGCTATTTTTAGCTTTTGAACCATCAACTTAGGCTACTTGGGTAGTTCTTTCTGGCTTTATTGTTTTCAGTAACCTTCTAAAACATTGGTTTTTATCCTTATCAGAAATGAGATAGAAATCAGTAAGAATCAACCTTTTTTGCTACTGCAATGTTGTGACCATAAAATGTCCCTTATCTGGGTTGGAGGATGCAAAAGAAGGCAGAACTGCCTAAATCTTGAATGAATTTGCAGAAAAAGGAATTCCAGCTGTTATAGCTTTTTTGTTTGTGGTTAATTTAATGAGCCGCGATGGTGCAGTGGTTAGAGTGCAGTACTGCAGACTACTTCTGCTGACTGCCTGCAATTTGGCAGTTCAAATCTCACCAGGCTCAAGGTTGACTCAGCCTTCCATGCTTCCAAGGTAAGCAAAATGAGGACCCAAATTGTTGGGGCAATATGCTGACTCTAAACCGTTTAGAGAGGGCTGTAAAAGCACTGTAAAGCGGTATATAAGTCTAAATGCTCTTACTGTTTATAAATACACATGCAAAAGTGTTAAATGTGCAGGTAACCTCATCCCTTCTATATTTATATTTTATGTTCATTTATTTTTATAGTCTAACCCAGGGGTCCCCAACCACCGGGCCGCGGAACAACTCCTACCGGGCCGCTGGCTTGCTGGGCGCCGCCATCTTTTTTTCATGAAAAAGTGCTTCCGGTGAGCTTTTCCGGGTAGAAAGCTCACCGGAAGCACGTTTTCATCAAAAAAAGATGGCGGCGCCCAGCTGATACCGGTACCGGGCTGCGGCGCCCAGCTGATGCCGGTACCGGGCCGCGGTGTCAAAAAGGTTGGGATCACTGGTCTAACCTCCTTGAAAGTTAGTGGAATTCTTTTGTTTCAGCAAAGCTTTAGAAAAGGGGATGATCCTCTAATTGTTAAGTCATGTTATTACGAAATTTCATTTTAATGTATGCTGATTAGTGTACATTCAAAGTGACAATAAAGTTATTCTAAGTCTAAGTTATTCTGTGTGATTTTATTATTGTATTGTATTTTTTCTTTTTGTTGGTTTAATTCAGATCAATAAATCATTATGGCAATGATGCCTTTCAAAAATATTTGGCAGGATATACATTTCAAAATGAATAAAGTATTAATAGAATAGAATAGAATAGAATAGAATAGAATAGAATAGAATAGAA